CAAGTGATATCCTCAATCGCCCCAACCCCCGCCGCCGCTGCCGCCGCCACCGCCCCCGCCCCTGCCGATGTTGCTGCTGCTGCTGCTGCTGCTGCTGCTGCTGCTGCTGCTGCTGCTGCTGCTGCTGCTGCTGCTGCTGCTGCTGCTGCTGCTGCTGCTGCTGCTGCTGCTCGGTGTCTCACATGCCGTTGCTGATCCCAGCTGGTTGACAGAGTAGGCACACAAAGTCTTCGCCCATTGCTTTGAATTCTTCAATTCTGTATGTTGTCTGAGACCTGATCCAGCTGATCGCGCAGACTGCCAATCTCACTTATTTCAGACTGTGCCCTTTGCTTCCGTCTTCCAGAGGTTGACGGCGCGGGGGAGGGGGGGGGCTCGGCTGCCTGCTTCCCAACCTGGCACTTGCAAGTGAGCCGCCCGGTCTGGGAGTACAGATTACTCGCATGTGTCGATACCCCAGGCCCGCACCGCAGCCACAAGGCCGCGTCTTACAGCGAGTGAGCGTGGAGATAGCCGTGCGATACACCCTGTCAATGGCGGGGCCCTCTCAAGCGTCAAATCAAACTGCCCCATTGAGTCTTGATGGCAATGGCACCACTAGGAGAGCTCAACACCCGGAGAGCACTGGGGGTGCCGTTCCATTGGCGGAATGCTATGCGATCGCGCCCACACACAATCAGCCTGAAGCAGCAGCATCTTGGTGTGGCATGCGGTCACCTGATCACCGGCACCCCCCTCTCGAAACTCGTCGTGCCCAAAACGGCGCGCGGGGCCCCGCAACAGCCACAGCATATTGGGGGTGTGCTTACCGTAATTTATCGAAAATGAAACGCAGTACTATGTCAGCTCATAGGTACGAGCAGGCAAGCAAAGGAGCTTCGCAAGCGGCGGCGGTGCATTCCGAGTGGCAGGTGTTGGGTGCATGTGCTCGCAGAGCAGAGTCCATGTCATCGTTCCAAGATCACTAGCAGCTGAGCAAATCCAGCACGCAACATGCGCTGTGTCTAGACAACGCAGTTGCCTGGGCTAGCTAGCGGCCCTTTCATGTACGGTACCTCGCTGGTGCGCAGCTTCTTCGATCGACGCCCCTCGCAGCAGACAGCACGCCTTGTTTGGCAGCTCGCTTGCAAGGCTGCGTTCCCGTTTGACACAGCTGCCTTCAAAGGTTTTGAACGAGTTGGAAGAGCGGGACGAAATGGCGGATCGCGATGAGGCAGTCTACGGAGCCAAGCTGGCAGAGCAGGTGGGGCTGTGGGCTTTGCGACGAAACGATGTGCAATGTTGCTGCATCCCTGTGCCGATGAAGCAGTGTTGCGACTCCGGCCTGTGCGTGCTGGTGGTGTGTGCACCTCCCCTGCCTGCCTCTCCCACCGTCAACCCCAGGCGGAGAGGTACGACGAGATGGTAGAGGAGATGCAGAAAGTGGCAAAGATGGTCCATGATCAGGAGCTGTCAGTGGAGGAGCGCAACCTGCTCAGCGTGGCCTACAAGAACGTCATTGGGGCCCGCCGCGCCTCCTGGCGCATCATCAGCAGCATAGAGCAGAAGGAGGAGAGCAAGGGCAACGAGGAGCACGTGAACAGGATCAAAAAGTACCGCCAAGTGGTGAGAGGCAGTTCCGGCAGATCGCTGTTGTGGGGGCCGTCCTTCCCAGCCGTCCCTGGTGGTCCCGCGGGTAGTGAGTGGCTTAAGAGAGAGACATTGTAGAGGTATTTTGTCCCGTGTTGGGAAGGCGCTCTCTCTTCGAGCAAATCCGACGGGTATACGTTATGATAGTTTGGGGCGGTTCGTCAGGGGTATTCCATTCTAGTGAACCCTCCGCCAACGGCGACATTCACAATGTATATTCATGTACCAACGTAATTGCCTGCACAGGTGGAGAAGGAGCTGAGCGAGATCTGCTCCAGCATCCTGCAGCTGCTGGACGAGCACCTTATCCCCACGGCCTCCTCGGGTGAAAGCAAGGTCTTTTACCTGAAGATGAAGGTGCGGCATGTCGCGACGACGAGGAGAGGCTCTTTGCTTGCAGGGCAGCGCGCCTGCATGCTGCAAAGCAGTGCAACACGCTGTCTCCTGCTCTGTGAAGGGGTGCGTGCCCAGCTGAAGTGATGCTGCGGGCAGCACGCCAGAACTGCCGTGAGTGAGTGGAGTAAATGATGTGCCGCACATAAAAAGGACTGGATATCTCAGGGTCTACAAAGCGGCATAAGACCTTGTGGCTCACCAGCGCTCGCCATGCGACGACAGGGCTGTGACAGGGAGCATCACGCGCTCGACGCGATCTTGATGTTGGCTCCAGGCTTGACTTTCTGCCCCCCTCTTCATGCAGGGCGACTACCACCGCTACCTGGCTGAGTTTAAGACGGGCGCGGACCGCAAGGAGGCGGCGGAGCACACCCTGCTGGCGTACAAGGCCGCGCAGGTGCGCAGCCAGCTAGCTCGAACGCCTGGCATTGCAAGGTGTTGTCGTGGGGATTGGGACGTTCCGCTGCGCCGTGGCCGTCAAATCCTGAAGTGGATTTGTTTATTTGGACGCAGTGGATTTGTCAATTTGGACGCAGTCGCAGCATGCACATGAACCGTCATTTGGGCCTTGCAGCTTGGCAGGAGCGCCGCCGCATTCAGCACAAATGCTTTCCTGAGCTGCAAGGGCCAAACAATGCTCTAGGGGTTTCTGTTCCTGCACACCGGCTGGCTACACAGTTGGAACTGCAAATTTGAGAAAAGTTTGTGGCATCTGGAAATATCATGCAGTTTCAACACAGCCTTCCTCAGGCCCCACCTTTGGTTGTGCCAACCCGCTTTATCCTGGCAGGACATCGCGCTCGTGGATCTGGCGCCCACGCACCCCATCCGCCTGGGCCTGGCGCTCAACTTTTCGGTCTTCTACTACGAGATTCTCAACTCACCGGAGCGCGCCTGCCACCTCGCCAAGCAGGTGGGTGGCCGGGCGGGTGGGTGTCTTGCGCAGCGAGGATTGCCTCCCTCAGCACATTTTCCGGTGGCAGCGGGCTGCGAATGGTATTCTTGCTACGAGTGTCGACCATGATCGTCGACGGCAGCCCTTTGCGACGACAGTGGATGGCGTCAGCCAAGAGCCATTGAATGAAGGTACACACACCCGGGTAGTGACAAAGAACGTCCAGGGGGAAGTCGGTATGCAGGCCTTGGGCATCACCCTGCTTTTCCACCCCAACCCACTCTGGCCACGCGGCCCCACTTTCCGCCCGCCATTGCTGCCGTGCCCTGCTGACGGCTTGCGGCCTGGTCGCGCATCGCCCATCAATGCCCAGGCGTTTGACGAGGCCATCGCAGAGCTGGACACCTTGGGCGAGGAGTCCTACAAGGACAGCACCCTCATCATGCAGCTGCTGCGTGACAACCTCACGCTCTGGACCTCGGACATGCAGGTGCGCGCGTGCCACAGTGCGGGGTGCGGCAGTGGCTCACGTCAGCATGGGCGTGTTCGCCGCAGTGGCGAGTGCGCTGCTGCGCCGCGCTGCGCATCACGTCCACTGCACAGCAAGGGCGCCTTGGGATCGGCCTGACGTGAGCCGGGAAAAGTGGTGGCAGCAGCTGGTGGATTCGCTGTTCGCACTGCAGGCCAAGGTGAGCTGCAGCAGTCGCCACGGTCGGTGTTGGGCTCACGCTGCGGGCTTGTGCCTACGACGCAGGATCAGGATGCGGATGCAGCTCGCGAGGGCGACGCCAAGGTTGAAGACGCCGACTCGTGAAGAACTTCTTCGCAGTGTGCCCTAGGGCGGCAGCAGCATGGACGCCCGCCACTGCCGTCGGGCGCAGGGGCACCCGAGTCGCGGGATGCGCCGGGGGCCCGCAGCAGGCCCGTGGCGCGCGCTGCATGGCACGGCGTTTGCCCCTTTGACGGGCTGTGCAGCCCCAGGGTGCAGCGGCGTGGCGGCGGTGTGCCCGCGCCTGGCCACCTGTGGATTTTCCTCTATCTCAGTGCTTCCCGCGGCGCATGCACGACACAGCTGGCTCGTACCGCTTTAGGGGAGGGACGGCATACAGAGGCCGTGGGGTGCTGTTTTTACTGGGGGGAAAGAGTGCGTCACTCATGGTGCTGCGCAGGGCAGGGCAGGTGCCCTTACTTGCCCATGCCTGCTCGAGGCCATGCGCACCTCAAACCCAGCAATGCGCGGCCGCATGGCGTGCAATGATCGTCCAGGCGGCGGCTTCTAAACCACCAATGACTTTTCTGACTGCTGTGCTTTCAGATCCACATTGCTTTCGCGGGCTGGGCCAGCGGCGCTCTGCACTCAACACAGGCCAGCAACACGGGCGCAAGGGGGGTTCGGCTGCGCCAAAAAGGTAGCTTTTTGCTGCCAACACTGCGGCACCTGCCTTACTTGCCAGCTCTTTTCTTCGTTTCTGAGTGTAAGCTGCCAAAGGCGGAATGCCCAGGGATGTGTGGTTTGCGTGAGGCGGCGGGGGCATGTCCACGCCGGAGCTTTAGGACAGGACAGGCCCATTGGGCCCTTTCCGCGGAATGACGAGCCGGGGCCATGCGATGGCCAGAACACGTCGCTTTCGCAAACCAGCTGCTCGCCAGTCGCATTGTACGACACTATGAGCGCCGATGCAGGTTGCCGAAGCTGGAAGTGGATGCGGCGGAGCATTGAAGGGAACTTCCATTTGCCTCCAGACCCCTTGATGTTCAAATCTGACAACTGCGCCGCCTTGTGCGTGCATGGCGAGAGTGCTGCCTAGCTGCGCTATTTCCGATTTGGTGTTGACGAGGAGCCTGCGTATGGCGGTAGTAGAAACCTGCTGCGTGACATGTCAAGGCAAGCACGAGAACTGCAGGGCGATGATTGGGGAGGCTCAAGTTTGCTTTGGTTCTGTCCGCGTAACCGCCCAGACCCATGTTGGCTTGTCAGTGTAGGTAAGGAGGGCAAGCAAGGCACGCAGGACTGTGGATTTGGGGAAAAAGGCACTGCTCGAGCAATCAAGTGGCAGGCGCGTGCAGTGTCGAAAAGACTCAAGTGGTTAGTATTGGTATGGCAAATCCCTATGATAGCGTGCACCAGTTGCAGCAATTCTCCGCATGTTCGGTCTGCAGTCTGCAGAGTTCCGACGCTGCCCCCTGCTTGCTGCTGCTCGTTGTTGACATGTCAGGTTTCCCAAAGCATGCATGTGAGCGAGCTAAACAAACAGCAGGCAAGCACAGTCCGAACCTCCATTCTGCATTAATACTTACACAGGTCGACGATGAACGCAGGCAGGATTTCATCGACATGAGCTCGAATTCGTCCCTGCCGAGCTGGTGGGGCGACCCGTTGGCCGCGACTCCTACTACGGGTGTGAACAACGCTATGGATCCAGGTGCGGCGCCCTACGTGGCCGTGCGCGGCGTAGTGAGGGTTCAGATCGTTCAAATTTGGGAGTGCCCGTGCTCGCCCGGCAACCGTTTCGCTGCGCCATCCGACACCGCAGCAGCACCCAAGGGAGATGATCAGGCCATGGATCCCACCTTGGAGCTCGCCCGACTACCTGATGCGGCCCCTCGGAGCCCAGCCAAGAGCCCAGCTAGGAGCGCCGGGTCGTGCCCCAAGAGTGAGCATGTGATTATATTTGAAGCTTTACTTGGGCCAACACTGCGCACATTGGAATGCTGTGCAGGCGATGCGCGCGACATGGCGCGTTGTCGCCCTGCGCATCAATGCGCCACGAGCACAGGTGGACTTTTTGCCTCCCACCATCCCTTCTCAACCCGACTCGCAGGTAGCGCTGCCGGCAGCGTGGCCAGTTTTGGGGAGTGGGGTGGGAGCGCTATCACGCCCGCCAATGCGCCACCAACAGGTACAGTAGGTGGATCCGGAGGATGGCAGCTCAGCGCATGCTGCTGATGGCAGTGGGGCCGCTGGGAACGCTTCGACAGCGCAGGAGGAAGCATGTATATGGTACACATACACCGCTGCCCGGCGGGCTGCAATCCGCAGGCCGGACGCCGGCGGGCGGGAAGGACGTTACCTTCGGAGCTTGGGCGTTCGGCTCCGCCAAGCCGGCCACACCTGGCAGCGTCGGCCCCGCGAGCGGCGCCACGAGCAACCAGGCGGTGGATGCGGCTGCCGAGGGCCCGGCACGCACCCAGCCAGCGCCTTCAGGTGCCGAGCGGCTGCCATGTGGCCTCGCCATGCGTTTGAGCTTGTGGCGCCGCACTGCCATCTGCATGGTGCGAACCCTCATGGTATTGGACCGGCCCCCAATGCCCCTTCTTGGAATCCATCCTCAAAACTCTGTCATGAATACTCAGTCATGCTTAGGGCCTGTCAATGCTGCACACGCCGTAGGGCCAGAAGTGAGCCTCAGGGATGGCATGGCGCAGACGCCTGGCGCAGGGCGACCGCCTGTGACGCGCCCCTCACCCCTTGGCCCTGGTGAGCCAACGCAGAAGTGCCGAGTGTTACCACACTGGATATGGTTAAGATCACAGCCACAGGCAGAGGCAGCGTTCCATCTACTTTTGGTAGGGTTGCAACAGAGCCCGATGGATGGATGGAAGCACATTATGCATCACATTGTTGTGCAATCGCCTGTGAACGGGCTCCCAAAGTGTGCCAATGCCCAGAGAGGGCGGTTCTCCCCCTGATGATGATGGTGGTGACTCCGCCATGCAACCTCCTCCAACCCTCTGGTGCCATGCAGCCGCAGGCCTCGGCAGCAAGGCGGGCAACATGATGGCCGCGCCGTCGGGTGCCGCGGCGACGCCGATGGCCTCCGCCGCGTCGTGCAGCGTCTCGCTGACGCCGGGCAGCGCGGGAACCACACTGGCGGGACCCAGCACTGTCGGGCAGTGCTCCGTCAGGGCCGGCGGTGAGCCCTGTGGCGCACAGCTGTTTGCAATAACTTTGCTGGCAGCAAGCTGTGCCAACGCTCGCCTGGCCGGTCTGCTGGGTATGCCCCTGTGCAGCTGGAGAGCAGAGCCTGTGCTGAAGCAACCACCCATGCGCTGCCGGTCCCCGGCCCCTCTGCAGACGCCGCGCCCCGCGGCATCCGCGTGCGTGGCAGCGCACCCCCGCCGCTGCCGCGATTCGACCAGCCCTCGGCGGCCCAAGACCCAGACCCGGTCACTGTTGAAGAGGCTCCTGCTGCCCCCAAGGCCCCGGAGCCGGCACCGGCGCCGGCTTCGCAGCCGGCGGCGCGCCGTACGCCGCCGCCGCGCAGCCCTAAGAGCGCTGCAAAGGGAGGCCCTGCCAGGTCTGCGGCTGCGGTCGGCGGCAATTCAACAGCCTCTGCTGTGGCAACACTGCCGTCCCGCATCCCCAAGCCCCCGCGTTCGCCCCTGCGCGGCGCCGCGGCCAAGCCTGCGGCTGGGGCGTCGAAGCCTGCGGCTGCGCCGGCAGCCAGCGCTGGCGCGCCGCAGCCGCAGCGGGCACGTTCCAAGACGCCGCCGGCCGCCGGCGCGGCGCCCGCGGGCGCCGCTGCGGCTGCAGGAGGTGCTTCCACGTTCGCGGCGTGGCTGCAGGCCACTGGGTCGAGCCTCAAATCCCCCGGAGTGCACCTGAAAGCGGCGCACCGCAGCGGCGCGCCGCCGCCGGCCGCCGCCGCCGCCGCGCCTGGCGCCGCTGAGGGCGCGGCGTCCCTGCCGCCGGCAGGCAGCCCACGGCGCTCGCCGCGGGCTGACGCGCCATTGGCCGCTGCGCCGTCATCCCCGTCATCCATGGGGGTGCCGCAGGGCTCCATCAGCTTTGGCAGCGCAGTGCCCGCGCCGACCAGCGTGGGCGCTGCTGCAGCCGCGCCGCACTCGCCTGCCAGGCGTTCACCGGCCGCGGCGTCCCTGCCGCCGGCAGGCAGCCCACGGCGCTCGCCGCGGGCTGCCGCGCCATTGGCCGCTGCGCCGTCATCCCCGTCATCCACGGGGGTGCCGCAGGGCTCCATCAGCTTTGGCAGCGCTGTGCCTGCGCCGACCAGCGCTGCTGCAGCCGCGCCGCACTCGCCCGCCAGCCGGTCGCCGCAGTCGTCGGCGCTGCGCAGCGCAGCGGGCGCGGCGTCCCCGCCGCCAGCCGCCAGCCCGCGGCACTCGCCGAGGGCCGCTGCGCCGTCGGTTGCTGCGCCGCCATCCCCATCATCCACGGGGGTGCCACAGGGCTCCATCAGCTTTGGCAGCGCAGTGCCCGCCCCGACCAGCGCTGGCGCGGAGGCAGCCGCGCCGTGCGCATCCCCCAGCCGCTCGCCGCAGCCGTCGGCGCTGCGCAGCGGGGCCGCCAACGGAGCCTCGCCGTCTACCGCGTGCGGCTCCCTCTGCTTTGGCCTGCCTAACTCAGGTGCGGGCGACGGGGCTGCCAACGAGCCAGCGCCGCAAGAGCGTGCGAGCAGCCCAGCGGCAGCCGTGGACGCCGGCGAGCCGACAATGGACATTGCAGCTGCGCTCGCAGCCGCCGCCGCCGCGGAGCAGCCCGGAGCCGCGGCCGCGGCCGCGTCGCCCGGCGGCGCGACGACCGCGGCGCCGTCGCCGAGCGCGCCCATCGGCTATGGGCGGTTCGCGCCCCTGATGGGCGTCGGCAGCCGCCTGGACACGCCCGGCGCCGGCGCGGCGTCTGTGGCGACGACGGGCGGCGTTTCGTTTGAGTTCCCGGCCCAGGTGCGCGTTCTGCAGCCGGCCCGCGCACAGCAGTGCGGTCTGCATAACGGTCGGGAGGGGAGCCACCTGACTGAAGCATCATCCGGAAGCCCTCGCACATTTACTTCCTGCGGGTGCTTCTAATGCTTGGCCAACCGATTATTCATTCTCATGCTAACAACTACCTCCTGGTCCGCCTCTGTCGGCGCCCAGCAGAGTGTGGTGGAGTCCCTGGCCACCGCCATCGCCAAGGCCGCGACGTCCATGGCCCGCACCGGCGCGCCCACCCCCAGCCCCAGCCGCTGGTGGCTGTCCCAGCAGCCCGCGCGCTCGGGCGCCGCCGGCCCCGCCGCGCCGTCCGCGTCGCAGGCCACCGACGCCGCGGCGGCGCCG